TTTCAAAAACCCGCCTTGCCACCTCTTTGCACAAACCAATGACTCACCACCATATTCCTGTCTCAGTGAAAACCACCTGACACCAGATAACCACCCAACTTGACTCCTGAAAGCAGGATGAGAATAAAAGTAGGTCAAAGGGCGAGAAGGCTCCTCATGAATGATAAAAAAGAAAGAGTACTCAAGAGTTGACATCATCATGTTGTGTTGCAATGAACTAAAATTTCACAAATGATAAGTTGATTATTGGGTTTGTTCGGGACACCGAAAAAAAAAGTTCTATTCTCTTTAGCAATTGCTTGTGCACAACTGGGAAAAGAGTGGGATGTGTTGCATATACAATGATATTATAAGTTATTAAAGATGTTTACCGCTCTCCTCTGGGCGCTAAATATAAAAACAGAGGATATGGAAACAGAGGAAGCAGCTGGGATTGATTACTGCAAAGTTAGAAAAAAAAAACTACCAGCACCATAAAACCTTCCTACTTAATGTAATCTATATCGCTTGTTTAATTTGTTTAAAGTGCATTCCCTCAAAGTTATTCCTTTATATGCTAACTTTTATCCATTATTTTGTGCCACACTGATAATCACTGAATGATATAACCTTCCTCCATCTCTCACATCACAAGAAAATGCATCATTTTATCCATTCTTTTAACGTGCAACCACAACACAGGCCAGTTCGGTCGCAATGGAAATTACACTTAATTTGCATCACCTGGTCTAAGTTACACATACGCAAATGCAGGCGAATAGACGCAGAGCCATGCTGCGTAATTGCTTCACCACGGGAAGCAAATGTTTTATTCGTCTCTTGCTCACACAGATCAGAAGTGAACAGGAGGCAAATTAGGCTAAATTCCTGTGGGTGTGACCATGCCCTTGAAACAATATGTATCTATTTGCATGTTAGTATGTGATCTCATGTTCCTCTCGCGTTTGGTGAAGTTTAACCTGAGCAGATCAACTTGGATCATATAAATCCCAACCTAGAAGCTGAGAGGACGCAGTGTGAACCAAAAAACCTTGAAACCTATCGCTTGTTCCTCAGTTATCTTACTGTTAGAGTGCTAACCCTTGTCAGCTGACAGATAACCAGCGTGCACACTGTTCTGTGTGTCTACTGTGAGCGAGTCAGTGGCTTTTGATAGAGACAAAGTAACAAACCATAGCTAAGTGTTGTGCCTTTGGATCATTCAGTCATATAGTCAAAACAAGCAGCTGCACACTCAGTGTCTTATCCCGGCTGGGCGGCTGATACAGAGGTTACATATTGTGTTGTATGTACTGCTAAATTCACACCGCACTTCATCTCAGAGCACATCAAAGGTAACTGTAGTTGTCTTTTCAGTTTTTTTGTAAGATGCGGCAAAAGGCTTTGTAGTTGAACTCCATCAATTTCACACATTAATGCCATTTTAATCACCGGGATTTGTTTCTATTCATGCTGTCAAATGAGCTACGGCTCTTGAAGAGTTAAAATTATGTTTAATTATGGATTATTCAAGGCCAGTAGAACAAAACTGTTGCTTAAAACTACCACAACCTGTCAAACCACACCAGAAACTCAAAAAGTGGAGCAATGGCAAATTTTCAGCACCCAAGGCCTTTCAGACTCCTGGAAGATGTGTTGGTTCACATGAAAGGTGCCAAAACCGGTATCAAATGAAAAAAGAGTTAAAGAGATATTTAATATGTTTCGTGAGAAGCAATAGATGTAGACGTAAACAAATTGTACGAGAAAATCTTTTTCCAACAGGGAATGTCTGATGAAAGTTGTAAATGACCGCTGGCTCCTACCTCTAAATGAATCAGAGGTAGGAGCCAGCATTTTTGAGGAAATATGAGCATTTCCTCCGCTGCTGCATTTGTGCTGATTATTCACTAGTGCCTAGTTTTCATGGAATTGTAAAATTCCAACTTCATGGATATTGTCTGTCAGTTTAAAAGTGTTTTTAAAGAGGCTTCAAAGCATGGCTTCAAATTAATATTGACAAAAGCAAAAGTATTGATTATGCCACTAGGAATACTGTTTCTAAAATATTGATAATCAATTTTTCACCTTCTTTCCTCTTTAAACGTAAAAGTTTGAGGATAGACAACAGCTGTAGTCTGTATGGATTCATAGCAATAAGTCCTGGAATCTATTGACAACTCAAAGTCAAGGCAAAAAAGACCTGCATGTTCGGTATATAATGATTTTTAGGGCTCAGTAGAAGCAGGGGATAAAGCCACAGAAGTTGTACTTTCCATGGGCATTTGGTAATTTGCTTTACATCAATTACATCTTGAGTAGAGAATCATTGAGTACATGCATGCTGTTAGCTGATTTCTACCGAAGTTTATCAATTTCTACATCATGTGGTAGCGGATCGTGACTCAATCAACGACTTGGCATCTTGTGACACGCTCTTCCTTTGAATTTTATCTGAATTTCAACAAAGCCAGATGTGCAATTCAGTTTAACAGACGCCCCAGTCCAAAGTATGTGTCTGACTATGTGTTGGAGATACAGTAGCCCATATACAGTAAGTGTGGTAGTTACATAAACGTTAGCCCTGTGTCATGTTGTGTGTTGGAATGTGAATATTATGGCACTGGTGTGTAAGGTGAATTATGGGGTCTGCTCATGGAGTGTGTCGAGTCTGAAATACACAGCCGCCATCTTATATAGTCCTCTGGCTTTCCTCTGATACAAAATGACTAAACATAGGTTATCCACCTTTACATAAAACATAGGATACACACAGTAGGTCTGCAATGACCAAATGTAAGCAATTCAATTTTCAGCTACTTTTGAAGCGTTAGCTCATAACATCCAGCTAAAGATCCAAATATTTGTTTAGAAATCGGTGGGGGGTCAAACCAGAGCAAACAGCCAGGAGACCTTAGATGAAGACATCCTCAGTCATTATGTCGTAGCGACACTTATATGCATGCGATCCCAAGGCTTAGCATTTGTTTATTGTCAATTATTGTGTAATGTAAATATCATATCAGATATATGACATACTATGATGAGCCCCATTCATTCATTTCTTAAATTGTTTGTGTTGTTTACACGCTACTTCTGCTTGCTAATGTCACAAACAATGGGCAGCAGCATGTCTCCAAGCGATGTATCATAAAATAGTCTAGACTGTGTGTCATGGAGATTTATTGGGTCTATTGGCTTGCAACCATATAAAACATCTGCATTCAGCTTTAAAGGGCATCTGTGATAAGACAGTCTGTGAAAACATTCCAACAACACAACAAGAGCTCTTTCCCCTTTTCCCTCTTCTTCTTCTCATATATCTTTATAGTCTACATTATAATATTTGATAGTGATACACGTTGGGGGACGGTTGAAAATCTTAATCTGTTTGAAACTACAAAAAGACAGATTAACTGTACAAATGCTTGAAATGTCTATCCGGGATATTATACAATATATAGCCTGGAAATATATAAAATCAATTATGAATTGTCGTACAATAATCTGCTCTGTTTAAATAAACTGCTATTATCCAACGTGAACCAAATCTGGCCCCTAAGATGATTTTTCAGCTTTTTGTTTCCACTTTGGGGTTACCAGTTTTTCCTGTGGTCTAGAAAACGAAACATGAATTCTGTACTCTCTCATTATATGCCGCTTTAAGACTGTGAAAGTCAACTCAACTGTAAATTTTAATGTGAGGAATGTGAGGAGGGAAGGTTCCCTGGTATTTGACATAGTTTCTGCTGGCTGACATACATCGGCTGCAGGCAAGATGGCATGACATAACTAGCGCTGGTTGACATTTAGTATTTGTTGTTTACCTAGTGATAAAACAGGAGCTAAGTGATAACAGAAAGGTACGTGGACTTAATACAAACACGGAGATTGATTGGGTTTTTCTAATTTGTGGAGGTAGGTTTAAAAAAGCTTTGAGGGACCTATTAAAACAACAGTAGTAGTAGGGAGTATTATTCTCCTCAGTTTTGGGAAATCCAGTGAAAATGCCAGGCCCTAGCCTAGAATTTCCAACCCTGACTGTACCTAAGTGTTCTGGTAACATCAAAAATGTTACGTGACATCACTTTCACTGGAAAATAAATACATATTTCTTTATTTCCATATAAATCAGCATGTCAGCTTGTAAGTGGTTAAATCGTAATGTCAGCTGTTTTGGGGTTAAAAAATGGGCAACTGCTTCCACAGCAGTTTTGCCTCCAAAATAGTTGTGATATTATTCTTGTGGTTGAAGGTCCTAAAAATAAGCAAGTGGAAACTTCTCCCATTCCCCCAAGTCTCCTTTACCTCACGCTAAATGAGGCAATGGCTTGTCCGCTGTTGACCAAATCATCTGTCACTCATTAACTCTGGCTGACCATCAACCTTTACTGCTAATGTGGCGGCTGTGACATCACATCCTGATCGTAGGGTTCTAGATGTTTGATTCACTTTGTGCCATGTTCCCCTTTCGATTTGTTAGTCCTGTCATGTAATGATTGACTTCTTTGACTATTGAGCCACAGCAGTTTGGTCAAGGACATAGTATCATGGACGACGGTGTTAAAACAATATAAACGTATTTATATATATATGTGCGTGTGTAACGCTGAAAATAAAATGCAATGTAGTAGCATTTTGAGTTTTTAAGCCTTGTATGGTTATATGTATTTTTTTCCTTAACAAATGCATGCACACACATCCTCTTAAATCACAGTCTATACTCCATCACACTACAGTATAGGTCTTTATTTTACAGAGTGAGGACATTGTCAAACAGTAACATTTTAACTACAGTTAAGACTTCCTCTCCTACCACAAGGTCATGTTGAAGGAGCAGTGGAAAATAA